CTGGCTCGGGCCCCCGTCCGGGGACACCCCCGCTGTTTCTTTTCCGTTTTCCGTTTTCTGGTCTCCGCCCTGACCTTCCAGAGAGCTATTTTTTAGCACTGGAGGCCTGAAAACCTAAAAAACGGAGCGAAACTGCCTAAAACCAAGACGTAGAATAGCTTAGGGATAGGTTTTTAAGTCGCGTGCTTTTTTTTGCCCTCTTGGAAGGTCAGGGTTTCTGGTCTCCGATTCCGGTCCCTGCCCGGAGAATCTCCCTCTTGCACTTTTCCGGTTTCTGGTTTCGATGTCCGTTCTCGGTTCCAGCGCGGGCGGCCTCCCGCCATTCATTTTTTCTGGCTTCCGCTTCCCGTCTTCCGCTTTCTGCTTTCAGGTTCTGGCTTCCGCCTTCCCCCTCCGTGCATCTCCTCTGCTCCTCCTCCTCCTCCTCCTCGTCCTCCTCCTCCTCCTCCTGCTCTTCTCCTCCTCATCTTCCTCCTCCTCCTCCTTCTCCTCCTCCTGCTCCTCCTCCTCTCCTCCTCCTTGTCCTCCTCCTCCTCCTCCTCCTCCAACTCCTGATCTTTCCCGTAATCCACCCCCAAGTGTTCCCAGAAGAGTTTCCACAACGGCTGGGGGAACTCTCATGGTCCAATAGCGTGGCCAAACTTGTGCCAAACGATTGGCCACACGGGCGTATCCCAAAAGGCAGGGGGCGGCGGTGACTCGCCGCAGGCGCCTCCGATAACGATAAGAGGTGTTTGGTCGCTTCTGGCCCCTGGGGGCCCTCGCCGAAACGAGCCGCGATGAAAAGCCGGCCCTGGGGAAAGGGTCGGGACTGCTGGGGACACCGTGTTGAAAAAAGCAAGACGTCACATGTCTGGGCCGGGAGCTGCTGCTTAGGCTGTGTCGCGGCGGCGGCCCCGGCGGCACGCTGTGCCCTGCGAGCGAGCAGCGTGCAGCTCCGCCCCGCGGAGCGGGAGGCTGGCAGAGACTTGGGAAGCGGGAGGCTGGGAGAGGAGGAGGAGGAGGAGGAGGAGGAGGAGGAGGAGGGGGACTTGGGACTTGGGAGACGGGGGGCTGACACGTGTTCCGCGTGTCGCGCCGAGGCGTGGTGAGTCAGACCTGGTGGCGCGACGCGCTGCAGAAAAAGTTCCCAGGAGCTCGGCACGGCTGCGGCAGGAAGCAGAGAGAAGAGAGAGCACCGTCGTGTCGCTGCCACCGCCGTCGGCGTCGACGTCGCAGTGGAGGGCATGGGTGCGAGCATGGGTACGTAGTTACGCCACGAGTATATAGATATATATATATATAAATATCATATAACATATATATATATACATACAGACACCCTCCGACGAATTTTGCATGTACCTTCAGGGAGGGGACGGTGTATAAGGTCGCTGGCTCTCAGTAGTGATTTATACACCGCCACCCTCCCCTGAGGCCCAGGAGCAATCCAGCGGAGGGTGTCTGTGTATTGTTTGTTCGGCGGAGTAGTGCACAGCCTGCTCGACGGAGAAGCAGCGCTTGGGAGCCTCCCAGATAGCGTCCGAGCAGATGGGGCCCCAAGATCGCATCGCATCGCAGACGCATCGCGTATGCATGGCCGATGTATCGGCGGCGTCGGCGTGGAGAGAGTCAAGCTCCATATACATCGAGCCACGTCGCCGATGCATCGCCGAGTCAGCGCGATCCTCATACCAATTCTACTCGGAGCCAATTTGGGGGGTGCGAGCATAGCGGTGCACATCTTGCCCGACGGGAAAGCGGCGCTTGGCTCACAAGGACAATAGCAGCGTCGCGTGTTTTCCTCCGTCGCTCTCCTTACGCCATCGCCGGCCTTGCCATGCATCACCGTCTTACCTGAAACTGGAATCCCCCGACACAACACGTTCCATCGCCATCCTTGCCATGCATCCCCGTCCTACCCGCGATAGAAATCGCCCGAGACAGCGTGTGCCGAGGCAACGCCAGACACATGCGATTCTAGGACGGCATGGCGAGATCAACAGCACGTGCGGCTTCCTCTGCTAAGTGGCCGACTGCCGCAACCCTGGGTGCCCCAGAGCTGCCCTCTCGGACTGGATCTGCCGACACTGGTGGCAGAAACAACTGCATGAACATAAACTGTCGACGGTCTGCGGTGATTTCTTGGAGAGTTGCGCTGGACCCCCATCCCAGAGGCGCGGAGCGCGCCAGGGGCAGCACCGGAGGCGGCGCCAAGGGGGGCCCAGCGGCGATCAGAGCAATCCGCGCGGAGCTCCAAGGTTTCTGCTCATGCCGCTTTCCCCCAAGCAGTGCTTGCACGTAGGGTCTCCCCCTTCTGAAAGGAGCGACTGGGCGTGGGGGTCGGTCTGGCGGCGATGTAGCCGCCGTCGCCGCCCCGTCGCCGCCTCGTCGTCACCCGTCGCCCAGGCCTGGCGGCCTGGGGGTCGTGCTGGCGGCTGTGTCTCGCCGTCGCCGCCCCGTCGCCGCGCCGTCGCCTACCATCCCAGCCAAGCCCCTTATCGACCCCCTCCATCATCCCTGTCAACCAATCCGCGCACATTCGTTGATCGAAGGTCATCAGCTTTTTGCACAATCAAACAAACATACAAACAAACTAAGTAACAAAAACAAAAAACAACAACAAACAATCAAACAGAAAAAAACACGCGCGCGGCGTCGCGCACACATGCCGGAATCCGTCAAAAAACCCTGTGCCCCGTCGGGATTACAAGATCGAGGTGCCCGATATCATGTAAGAACCACGTGGCTTGGTAACATGGTGTTGCGAAACACCGCGCGCACGCTCTCGCGAACTCTTCGGAGCACGATTGGTGCTGCAACATGTTAACCCGATGAGACCGCACGGGCCTCCCGCACGCGCACATGTCGAAATCGTTCGAACAACCTTGCGCGCTTGATGGTGGGCACGATTCCGGCCAAAGAACACCATGCGGGCCACTCGCGCGCGTCGGCCGCGCGCGCATGCCGAAATCCTTCCAAAACTTGATCCCCGACAGCTGGACATCATCACCGTCATCGGCGTGACCAGCATCGGCGTCGTCATTGGCCGCGCCGTCGTCATCGTCACCATCGTCACCATCACCGTTTCTTTCATCATCGTGTCCACCCTATTGTCGACGTCACCATGATACCGCACCCGCCCGAATCACCGCCTCGCGCTGAAGTGCCCGCGCGTCCGCGCGGCCTGCGAGACGCGCTGGGAAGTCCCCAGCGGTCAGCGCCACCACGGCCGCGTCGGTCGCCCCAGACTAGCTGGCCGCTCCGCGCGAGAGCTTGCGCGCGCTAGCGCGGCCGCAGCGATGCACCACCCACCACCAAGCAGCCATCGCAATCGCTGCCGCATTTGCTTTGCAAACTAGTTCGCGGGTGGGTGGTGGGATGATTGCCCGAATAGTGGAATTGACAACTCCGCTCCTTAAATCGATTGCATCGATTGCTCGACAAAGATTGCACAGCATCTATTGCGCACCGCCTGAAGTACACCACATGTATTGCACCACCTTGATTGTACAACATCGACTGCACAAGATAGATTGCACAACACAGATTGCACAACATATATTGCAACACACAACATGACCCGCGTATCTTGAACCACCTAAGGTGTACCACGTAGATTGCACCGTATCTACATATATATATGTGTGTGTGCACGCGTACATGTATACAATTACACCTGTAGTATGCAGATTGTACCACATAGGTTGCACAACATGGACTGCATTTCATATGTTGCACAACATTATCTGCATAACACAGGTCGCACGCCATCGAACGCACAACAGATGTTGCAGCACATGACTTACCCGACATAATAGACTGTACATCATAATTTGCACAACACGAACTGCAAAGCATGTACTCCTAGAAACACACTGATTGGGGTTCACGCTGGCTAACATGTCTCCTTCGAGTACTTACTGCCACTTTCGGCCAACATTTCGCCAGCGACGCCTCACCCGACTTTTTACTGCTGGCATTCGCGGGCCTTCCGCCGGCCTCCGCCGGGGGTGAGAGATCCCGCCTCGATTCATCAGAGGCGAGGCATGTCGCGAGCTGCACGGGCGCAAAAGCAGTCCGGTTACAGAGCAGCGTTCTTGTCGGTCTGTTGCAACTGTCCTGGCTGCATGGCAGATCTTCAGGCCCACGTGGAGAGGAAGAGGATCGGCGACTCCGAAGGGTGTGGCTGGCAAAGGCTGTGGTTTGCAACCTGCCCCTGGGGGGGCGGGCGAGGACCTCGACGGGGATCTCCACCGCGCCCCGACGAGGGCTCGTCAAACCTTTGGCACAGCGAAGGGGCCCCCTAAGCCCCGACGGCGCCGATCGCAAACCACACCCTGGCGCGACCAAACCCATTTCAGTCGCCGAGAGGAGGAGGAGGAGGAAGAGGAGGAGGAGGAGGATGAGGAGGAGGAGGAGAGCGAGCGAGCGAGCGCTAGCAGACCGAAGCGAGTGAAGAGCCGCGGGAGCATGGACTGAGAAGCCCACCCTCCTGCTAGGCTGCTGCACCGCAGCGGCGGGCAGCACAGGGAAGGGAAGCGTAAGGGGAAGGGGAAGGGGCCCAGGGACACACGAATAATAAATACACACAGATCCCAAGACTCTCCGTATGTTCTCATCCTGATACACACAGATCCCAGGACTCTCCATATTGTCTCATCCTTTCTTGCTGTTTTCGTGTTCCCCCGACGTCCCAGACTTTCCAATCTTTCCTGGGAATCGACGATTCGTTGGTGTCTCTCTGCGTGTCTTCCCTCCCGAAAGGGCTGACGCGAGGAGCCCCCGGGCCGCAGGCCACTGGGCAGTCGGCCAGGGCGGGGAGGGCAGCCCAGAGGCTGAGGTGCACGAGCCGTCGATTTGGGTCGGGCACGCCCTCCCACAGGAAGATGGAAGACAAATAATATAAAGGAGCCCAGGGACACACAGATAAATGCACACGAATAACAGGATCCCCCATACTTTCCCATATTTTCTGGGTTTCTGTCTTCCCCCCCACTTCCCATAGTTTCCCATATTTTCCTGGGAGTCGACGGTGAATTGTGTCTGTGTGTTTCTTTCTCTCCTGAAGAGAATAATCAAACAGACCTGCTGTAAGCTAACAAGGAGACAATTTTGTTTTTCAGGGCGGCCCTGGCCCGCGGAGCAGCGACCAGTAGATGGGGCCCCAACCGCCGCGGTCTGGCAGCAGCCGCCAGCCGTACTCCGTCTCCTCGACCTTTTGGTTAACCCAAAAGGAGCAATTGTTGTATTGCAGATGTATTGCGCGAGAGAATTCTAGCGCATCGTATTGCAACTCGTGTATTGCTTGCGAAAACCCAGCAACACATTTGCGCACCGGGATGTATTGCACGCCCCGAATCTATTGCAACCCCACACATCTGTTGCACCAGATCTATGGCACCACCCCCTCGTCGCTGACCCCCTCTTGGGTCAACCAGAGACCTGGGCCTGCGCGCCCAGCGCCCCCGGCACCGCGCCGAAGCGGACGGAGTCCGCGGCGCTCGCGCGCCGGCCCCCGCAGCAGCGCCAGAACGGCGGCGCCCCGCGCATCACCTCCGCGATCACGTCGTCGTTCTCTATCCGAGACAGCGCGCACGTGGAGTAGACCACGTGCCCCCTCGGCGCTGCCCTCATCGCAGCGTTCACGAGGGCGACCTGACGGCGAGCGTTGGCCCGCGACCGCTCGACGGTCCACGGGATGGCGGCCACGGCGCTCGCCGCCCTCGCCTCCCAGGCGCCGAGGTCCGGCACCGCCCCCGGGCCGGGCGGCGGCACGCCCGCCGCGCCGAGGCCGGCCGCGCGCGCCTCCCGGTGGAGCGCCTTCAGGATGCGCTCGCGCTCCGAGGAGCAGGGGGCGTCCACGAGGACGGCGTCGAACCGCCCCTGGCCGCGGCGGGCGAGCGTGGACTCGGGCGCCGACGCGTCCCCGTGGACCGCGGTCAGGGCCTCGCGGGCCCAGCCCGGCAGGTAGAGCCGCAGGTTCTGCAGCAGCCGGTTGAAGCGGAACTTGTCCCACTCCACAGCCGACAGCGCCGCGCCCGAGGCCCCTGGCGCCAGCAGCGCGCCCGCCAGCAGCAGCAGCTTGCCGCCCGGCGCCGCGCACGCGTCGAGCACGCGCGCGCCCGCCGCGGGCAGCGCCGGCCAGGTGCCGGGGCGGTCGGCCGCGGCGTCTGCCCCTGGGCCCAGCAGCACCGTCAGGGCTGGCAGGGCGGACGCCAGATCCAGCGGGTAGTACAGCTTCAGGCCCGTGGCCGAGCAGTTCGGCGGCTTGGGTAGCCAAAGCCGTTCGTCGGCGCGCCCCTCTGGCGCCCACAGCCCCGCCGCGCTGCCGGCGGCGCCGGCCAGCCTCGCCATGCCGTGGCTCTCGAGCAGCGGCGACGCTTCGCCCTCGCCGCCGCCCGCGAAGGGGTTCGCCCAGGCGGCGTAGCTCTTGGGCTGCTGCAGGGCGCTCAGGAGGCCGCACCAGCGGTCCCCGAACTCGCTCCGCAGCAGGCCCTCGAGGCCAGCCGGGAAGGCGCTCGGCCGCCGGGCGCGCTGCGGCGGCGCCCGCCAACGCGAGGGGGCGGCGCCCTGCGGCGCGATCGCAGCAGCCGCAGCGGCCGAGGCCCCCCGGGGGCCCGACGCGCGCCGCGCCAGCGGCGCCGCGGGCCGCATCAGCGGCGGCTGGCACCTGGCGCCCGCGGCCCACCGGGCCAGCGCCGCCGCCGGCAGGCCAGCGCTGGCCGGCCCTGGCGCGGCGGAGCAGCGCCGGCGGACTGGCGCTGGCGCCCGTGGGCCCGCGCTGGAGCCAGTGGGCCAGCGCTGGCCTCTGGCGCTGGAGCCAGCGACGGCGCCGGCGGGCCAGCGCCGGTGCGGGCGCGCCGGCGCTGCCTGGCCCCAGCGCGGCGGCGCGGGGGGGCGCAGGAGCGCCAAGCGGCCCGCGGCGCTCCTCGCGGGGGCGACCACGGCGGCGGCGGCGGCGGCCCGCCCCGCGACGAGCGCCCGCCTGCGGAAGGCACGGCTCGGGGCCATCGTGGGCCGGCCAGCCGCGCACTGGCGCGTCGCAGCGGGACGTGCGGCATCCCCGCCGAGGAGCTCGAGCCAGAATAAGAGGGCGACAAGTCGTCACGTGACTATTCTTCACTCTTCTTGAATATTCTTTCTGTACAGGGACATGCCCGACTTCAGCGTCTCGATCTCTCTGGTGTCTCTTCCTGAGACGAGGCCAGGGCGAGGGGACATTCGGGCGAGTACAAGTCGAGAATCTCTGAGGTCCAGCGGCTCTGGAGGCTGCATCGGGCGTCGCGGTCTTCTCAGAACATTCCAGAACGCGCGGAGAGCGTTCCGGAACGATCTGGAACGGACTTGTCCTCGTCCTGGCCCCGTCCGATTCCCTGCTCTCCCCTCCCTCCCTGCTGTCGGGACATCCCCTCGTCCCTACCCTCCCCTACCGCCCCCTGAGGGCCCTCTCTGTCCTGTCCCCTCCCCCCTGCCCTTCCACCCTCCCTTTCCGTGTCCTGCCCAACATCCCTGGAACCTGACCGGAGGACCAGAATCAAGGAACCATTGAACAAGGAGCACAGGATCTGGAAGCCGTTGGAACTCCAATCATAGGCTGGCCATGGATCACGCCGCCGCCCTCATCAGATAATCGGCGGCGAGCGAGGGGGGGAAGTGAGAAGGAGAGGGCCTTCTCAGAAGGCGGAGGGATTTCTCGGAAACCCTCGCGCATGAGGCTCATAATACTTCTCAGAAGGCCGGGAGACTTCCGAGCCTTCTGCGAAGGCCCGCCCCTTCTCACTTCCCCACTTCCCCCCTGAGCTCGCCGCCAGGAAGAGAATCGAGGATCGAGGAAATGAATCGAGGAATCGACCCGCCCCCTCGTGGACGAGGGTCCCAGCCCTCGACCCTCCTCCTCCACATCCTGCTCCTCCTCCTCCTCCTCCTCCTCCTCCTTCTTATTATTATTCTTCGTTTTCCCAACCATCCTGTGGTGTTGGGTCCTCGTTTTAAAGAGACGGTGCCCCGCGTTCCCTCCTTCCTCCTCTCCTCCTCCCCCTCCTCCCTCCTCCCTCCTCCCACCAACATCATCGTCATCATCATCATCATCATCATCATCATCGTCGTCATCATCGTCATCACTATCATTCTCGTCATTTTCGTCACGTCCATCATCATCATCATCATCATCATCATCATCATCATCATCATCATCATCATCATCATCATCGTCATCATCATCATCATCATCATCATCATCATCATCATCATAATCGTCATCATCATCATCATCATCGTCATCATCATCATCATCATCAGCATCATCATCATCATCATCATCATCATCATCATCATCATCATCGTCATCATCATCATCATCACCATCACCATCACCATCATCGTCATCATCATCGCCGCCATCATCACTATCACCCCTCACACGTTTCATGGTGCTGGGTCCTCGTTTTGAAGAGACGGTGCCCCGCGTTCCCGCTACTCCTCCCCCTCCTCCCTCCTGCCGCCCGCTGCCCCCCCCTCCTCCCACCGTCCCATTTCGGCACACCCCTCACGCGTTTCGTGGCCCCATTGGGAGCTCCACCGAAGGCACCAGTGCTGCCGCCCGCATGCGTCCCGCACACCCAATTCGGCACATCCCTCACGCGTTTCGTGGCCCCATAGGGAGCTCCGCCGAAGGCCCCAGTGCTGCCGCCCACATGCGTCACGCACACTCAATTCGGCACACCACTCACGCGTTTTGTGGCCCCAAAGGGAGCTCCACCGAAGGCCCCAGTGCTGCCGCCCGTATGCGTCACGCACACCCAATTCGGCACACCCCTCACGCGTTTCGTGACCCCATAGGGAGTTCCGCCGAAGGCCCCAGTGCTGCCACCCGCATGCGTCACGCACACTTAATTCGGCACACCCATCACGCGTTTCGTGGCCCCATAGGGAGCTCCGCCGAAGGCCCCAGTGCTGCCGCCCGCATGCGTCCCGCACACCCAATTCGGCACATCCCTCACGCTTTTCGTGGCCCCATAGGGAGCTCCACCGAAGGCACCAGTGCTGCCGCCCGCATGCGTCACGCACGCTCAATTCGGCACACCACTCACGCGCTTCGTGGCCCCATAGGGAGCTCCACCGAAGGCACCAGTGCTGCCGCCCGCATGCGTCCCGCACACTCAATTCGGCACACTCCTCACGCGCTTCGTGGCCCCATAGGGAGCTCCAGGAGCTCCACCGAAGGCCCCAGTGCTGCCGCCCGCATGCGTCACGCACGCTCAATTCGGCACACCCCTCACGCGCTTCGTGGCCCCATAGGGAGCTCCACCGAAGGCCCCAGTGCTGCCGCCCGCATGCGTCACGCACACTCAATTCGGCACACCCCTCACACGTTTCGTGGCCCATAGGAGCTCCACCGAAGGCCCTCAGTGCGCCGCCCGCATGCCGTCACGCACACTCAATTCGGCACACCCCTCACGCGCTTCGTGGCCCCATAGGGAGCTCCACCGAAGGCTCCAGTGCTGCCGCCCGCATGCGCCCCGCACACCCAATTCGGCACACCCCTCACGCGTTTCGTGGCCCCATAGGGAGCTCCACCGAAGGCCCCAGTGCTGCCGCCCACATGCGCCCCGCACACCCATTTCGGCACACCCCTCACGCGCTTCGTGGCCCCATAGGGAGCTCCACCGAAGGTCCCGGTGGGTGTGCCAGTGCTGCCGCCCGCCTGCGTCCCGCACACCCAATTTGGCACACCCCTCACGCGTTTCGTGGCCCCATAGGGAGCTCCACCGAAAGCCCCAGTGGGTGTGCCCGCATGCGTCCCGCACACTCATTTCGGCATACCCCTCACACGTATCGTGGCCCCATAGGGAGCTCCACCGAAGGCCCCAGTGGCTGTGCCCGCATGCGTCCCGCACACCCATTTCGGCACACCCCTCACGCGTTGCGTGACCCCTCACACGTTTCGTGGTCCCACAGGGAGCTCCATCGAAAGCCCCACCCCTCACACGTTTCGTGGCCCCATAGGGAGCTCCACCGAAGGTCCCAGTGGGTGTGCCCGCATGCGCCCCGCACACCCATTTCGGCACACCCCTCACACGCTTCGTGGCCCCATAGGGAGCTCCACCGAAGGTCCAGAATGGGTGTGCCCGCATGCGTCCCGCACACCCATTTCGGCACACCCCTCACACATTTTGTGGCCCCATAGGGAGCTCCACCGAAGTCCCCAGTGCCACCGCCCGCATACGTCCCCCACGCCCATGTGGGCACACCCCTCACACGTTTCGTGGCCCCATAGGGAGCTCCACCGAAGGCCCCATGGCTGCCGTCCGCATGCGCCCCGCACACCCATTTCGGCACACCCCTCACACGTTTCGTGGCCCCACAGGGAGCTCCACCGAAGGCCCCAGTGCTGCCGTCCGCATGCGTCCCGCACACCCATTTCGGCACACCCCTCACACGTTTCGTGGCCCCATAGGGAGCTCCACCGAAGGTTCCAGTGGGTGTGCCCGCATGCGTCCCGCACACCATTTCGGCACACCCCTCACACGTTTCGTGGCCCCATAGGGAGCTCCACCGAAGGTCCCAGTGGGTGTGCCCGCATGCGTCCCGCACACCCATTTCGGCAGCACCCCCCAACAACGCGTCTTGGCCCCATGGGAAGCTTCCACCGAAGGTCCGAATGGGTGTGCACGCATGGTACCGCACACCCATTTCGGCAACAACCTCACACGTTTCGTGGCCCCATAAGGATGCTACACCGAAGGTCCCAGTGGGTGTGCCCGCATGCGCCCGCACACCCATTTCGGCACACCCCCGCACGCCTTCGTGGCCCCATAGGGAGCTTCCACCGAAGGTCCGAATGGGTGTGGCCCGCCATTGCGTCCCGACACCCATTGCGGCACACCCCCACACGTTTTGTGGCCCCATAGGGAGCTCCACCGAAGGGTCCGAGCGGGTGTGCCCGCATGCGTACCGCACACCATTCGGCACACCCCTCACACGTTTCCGTGGCCCCACCTTCCCCCCCCCCCCTCCGGATCTCTTAATCTCCCCCATAGGGAGCTTCACCGAATACCCCAGTGGCACCCATCTCGGCACACCCCTCACAAGTTCCGTGGCAAACCCGCAGCTGCGGTACTGACAACTGCATATGGGTGGATTCTTCGCCAGGCTAATTATTACTACTATGGTTATTCCCAACCATCCTGTGGTGTTGGGTCCTCATTTTGAAGAGACGTCGCCCCGCGTTCCTTCCTTCCTTCCTTTCCCGCTGCCCCCCCCCTCCTCCCACCGTCCCATTTCGGCACACCCCCCACGCGTTTCGTGGCCCCATTGGGAGCTCCACCGAAGGCCCCAGTGCTGCCGCCGGCATGCGTCACGCACACTCAATTCGGCACACCCCTCACGCGTTTCGTGGCCCCATAGGGAGCTCCACCGAAGGCCCCAGTGCTGCTGCCCGCATGCGTCACGCGCGCCCAATTCGGCGCACCCCTCACGCGTTTCGTGGCCCCAAGGGGAGCTCCACCGAAGGCCCCAGTGCTGCCGCCAGCATGCGTCACGCACACTCAATTCGGCACACCCCTCACTCGTTTCGTGGCCCCATAGGGAGCTCCACCGAAGGCCCCAGTGCTGCCGCCCGCGTGCGTCCCGCACACCCAATTTCGGCACACCCCTCACACGTTTCGTGGCCCCATAGGGAGCTCCACCGAAGGCCCCAGTGCTGCCGCCCGCATGCGTCCCGCACACC